ACAAGCAGAATAGAGATAAAGTCATGGAGAACAGGTTAATAGCTCTGGTGGGGAGGTGGTTAGGGGTGGAAGGATTGAGAAAAAAGAAAAAGGACTCAGACACAGACAACAGTGTGATGATTGTGAGGGGGAAGGTGGTTAGTGGAGATGGAGAAGGTATAAGGGAAATAAATGGTAATGGAAAAATACAATAAAAATAAACTATTAATAATAATAATAAAAATAAAAGTAGTTATTATCCCTAAAGGATCAGGTTCCTCGCCCAAAGTCATGCAGGTGGTTATTGGCAGAATTTAGATTAGAGCGAGAATTAGAACTGTACTCTCTGAATCATAGTTGAGTAAACTTTCTATTCACCAAATCTTTCATGATCCTTAACATTAGTGTGCATTCTAAGTCAGGTTCTCCTTCTAAATGATATTGGGGAGAAAGCATCCCATTTGGAAAGGAGAATTATAATTTTCTTTTTATACTTATATTTCTAATTTAATGTCTAGGTCTCTATGATTTTTTCCAGCTTACTTTGTTCTTCCATTATTCATTTTATTTTGTATTCTTATCTTCTACTGTATGAGGAGTTTATAATCTGTGAAGTCCTCCAAATTGGTTGCATTTTTTTTCCTGAGCAGATTTATAAATTGAATTTCATAAGTTTTTTTCCATTTACAAAAGTTACTAAGATTATACAACTTTTTAAAAAATATACTTTATTTATTTTTAGAGAGGGAAGGGAGAGAGAAAGAGAGAGAGAGAGAGAGAGAGAAACATCAATGTGCGGTTGCTGGGGGTCATTGCCTGCAACCTAGGCATGTGCCCTGACTGGGAATCGAACCTGTGACACTTTGGTTCACAGCCTGCGCTCAATCCACTGAGCTACACCAGCCAGGGGAATTTCATAAATTTTTAAAGAAGTCTCTGGCCTCAAAAAATAAAGAATTATTGTTACATTTGGGTATTAAATGAGATAACCTTCTTATACCTGCCAAACCATACTCTGAGCTGCTGGGCTGGCTGTGACCAGTGCGAGGAGAGAACTTTGCTGCCTTCAAGGTCTCCACTGAGTGCTTGAGTCGTAGGTATGCTCGATGAACTCCTAAGAGCTTTCTTTTGATTCAATGATTTGGGTTAAAAAATAAACCTCCCCCAAAACAGTTTTGGGATTAACTGAACTGACTTTCTGTTTGAACTGAGGACATGGATAAAACACATGGTATCCTCAACTGCTTGTGAAGTTCCTTTTTTGTTAAGAGGGCCAACCTATTAACATCTATTGCTGCTCTTTTCACACATGCCCATGGGAACTTGGAACAAAGGTTGAGCAGCTAATCATTTGATCTAAGTGAAAAGTCATGTTTACAGAATAATCTGTAAGTAAATGCATCTCCAAAACAACACAGTTAATTTATCATCTTTGGTCATTCTTTTCAAAATGTATTATTATTATTATTATTATTATTATTATTTTATTACTAGAGAAAGGAGAAGGGAGGGAGAAAGAGAGGGAGTGAAGCATTGATGTGTGAGAGAAACATCAATTGGCTGCCTTTTGTATGTCCCCAACTGAGGACCTGGCCTGCAACCCAGGCATGTGCCCTGACTGGGAATCAAACTGGTGACCCTTTGGTTTATAAGCCAGCGGTCAACCCAGAGAGCCACACCAGCCAGGACATCTTTGGTCATTCTTAAAAAAAAAATTGCTGCTGCTTCAGAAATTTGTATCTTCATATGGTTTTCACACATTTAATAATATCACTATATTCATTTTTTCTTTTTTAAATTTTTATTGTTGCTCATAATATCACTACATTCATAGTGGATGAACCAACAGAATGCTCCAATAGACTTCCAGGTTCTAAAAGGATTGCTATGAGACCCATCTTTCCCTTTGGCAGTTGCAAACAAATTCTTTCTTCTTCTTCTCCTTCTCCTCCTCCTCCTTCTTCTTTTTGTTGTTCTAGAGTGGTTGAGCTATGTGTCTATGCTAAGCCTGGGTCATTTGAGACAGGCCCTTAAATTACTTTGTTAAACATTTTTATCAAAATGGAGCTATTGTCTTCTTTTGCCTGCCAATTGTATTTAGCTTGATGAGGTCATATAACAGAGTCTCATTTAAAGTCAGTTAAAGAGAGATTTCATAGGGATCCTTGTGAGGAGAAGTAACTTTTGAAGCCAAGACTTCAGTTAAGGCAATCTGAAGATCTTGCCATCTTAGGAAAAGGGTGATGTAAAAGAGTATGCAAGGTCTAGGATAAATTAGATGGTCAATGTTATACAACCAAAAAATTGTAAATAAGAATGCAGTTAAAATAGATTGCATGAAGTTGTTATTGGCCAAAAAATTCATTTTTTTTTTCATAAAATGGCTCTAGTAGGGCTTAGTTGTCTTGAACTTTATTTGAAACAATTTTGTTAGATTGTATTGTGACAGCTGTCATATCAGTGTGTATTTAAAAAAACATCAAAACTGGTGTATTTTTGTGTAGCCATTCTAACATTGAACATGGAAGAATACATGCAACAACTTCAGAGTATTATACTTTATTGTTTCAAGAAAGGTAAAGATGAAACTGAAATGCAATAAAAGATTTGCACAGTGTACAGAGAAGGTGCTGTGACTGATCGAATGTGTTAAAAGTGGCTTGCAAAGTTTGTTGGTACTATTGACATTTTGGCAAATAACTCTTTGCTGTGAGGCTGTCTTATGCATTGGGAGATATTTAGCAGCTCCCCTGGCCTGTACCCACTAGAAGCCTATAATAGGATGCTATAACCAATGTGCTCAAAATATCCAAATCAATAAAGTTTTTGGTGAAAATGAAAAATGTGTCTTTTATTTTATGGAAAAAACTAAATGGACTTTTTGGCCAACCCATTACTCCAGGAAGTAAGGTGCTGGCAGTTGTGCAATGACTTAAAATTGAAGGTGTCACACTGTTTAGCTAGAACATGTTCCTGTGACCCAACTATGAGTGGGATTTTCTATTCAGCTGCCATATCTGAGAGTTCTCTATGGAGAAAGAAGGGGACAGAGATCAACATCATATTTAAAGTGGTGGAAGCAGTAGCTTATCCATTATTTTTACTGAATTAACCTCAAGAAAAGAAAGGTTCTTTGAATAATCTGATGTCAAAAAGAAGAGTAGGAAGTGGATCGATGATGCCGTCAACTTACAAGTGCTGCCAGTGAATCAGAATTGTCCATTGAGCCATAAGGAAATGGTTTAGTGGATGGATCTACAAGATCTGTCATTGAACAGATTTGGGCCAAATTCATATCTAAAAGGAAATTTCATGGCACGGAGAATCCTCTAATGACAACTTTCAACTAATTGAAGCAGACCAAGGCATGGTGTCACACACAATGCCACAAGGTGAGCTCTCCCTGGGGCAGGGGAAAGATTTTCCCTGCAGAGAAGTAAGAGGAGCAGAGAGTAGGTGCACAGAGTGTCAATCTTCACCTCGTGGTCAGTGGTGCAGCAGAAACTTTGAAGTACACAGAAGGTTATTTTGTGTGCTAAGTGGGGAATGTACTAGGAGATCTAAAAGCCCAGAGATATTTTTCTTCCAGCATGTAAAAAGAGGAGACTTTAGTTTGGCCTTCACAAAAGTCATTCCAAGCAATACACAGTGGACTCACAAGAGAAGAGAATACTGAGAGATTCTTCCACAGGGTGCACATTTCTACGGTCCACTGGGGCACTTGCAAGGATCTGAGTATTGTGAAAGGCCATTATTTCTTAACCTGTGGAGGTAATGCACTTATTATAAATGAGTTTCAACTATAAAATAATGTCCTCCACCTTGGGACACAACACTTCTCAGAAGATCGATTATTCTTTTGTACTTCAAGCCAATTCACATCCATACAGCTGGCTATCATTTTGATGGTTCTAGTTTAGCCATTTTGAACAGAAACAGCTAAGCTGAAGAATGGCCATGTTCCTGAATCCCATGGGAAAAGGTGTCTAATTAAAGGCAAGAATATCCAGCAATTAATAAGGAAGAATTCATCCATCAACCATCTGCTTCAGCTGCTGCAAAGTGAAATTTTCCAAAATTCTGATAATGCTAATTTTGGCTTATGGACAAAGATAATTGACCAAGAAGAAAAATTGCAAAACTAAAATAGAAGCTATGTTTTATTTCTCAGAAAAGTGGGGTTGAAGATGGCAAAAAGGAAGCAGGGGAATACCTGTCTATCTTTAACTAGGCTCATATAAAGAATACAAAAGTGAATTTAAAAAATCAAAGTACTTGTCTTGAAGCATTTTTGGCATATTTGATAATAAAATAAAATGAAGACAAGATGTCTTGCCCTGACTGGTGTGGCTCAGTTGGTTGGGCATTGTCCCACAAAGAGAAAGGTCATCAGTTTGATTCCCAGTCAGGGCACATTAAGTGGGTTGCAGGTTTGGTCCCTGGTAGGGGGTGTAAAAGGGGCAACTGGCCTATGTTTCCTTCTCACATCAATGTTTCTCTCCCTCTCTTTATCCTTCCCTTCCCCTCTCTCTAAAAAAGTAAATAAATGAAATCTTAAAAAAAAAACCAACAAGATGTGTCAATCCAAACAAGGCTGAGGATCATTTTTATGTGTATTCTGTGTTTTCTTGAAATCAAGATATAAAAACATTGTCCCAACAAAACAGAAAAGAATTACTATTATATAATAAACAAGTGTAGGGCACAATAACTCAAATTTTTGATGTGTTCTAGGCACATTTTGTAGTTTTATACTCATTTTTTTTCTAGTGTTTCAGAAGGTAGTGTAACAGTTCAGTGATCACAAAGCAGGGGCTGGAGTCTGCCTGACATCAGACCTGGTGTGCCACTTGGCCCACTGTTTGCTCAAAGTGGGGTTTTGAGCCTCAATTTCCTTATCTGTAAAATTAAATAATAAGGGCACATATCTCATATGGGACTAGTCAACAGGCATGGCCATTATTATTATTACTAATAAACATTAATATTTTGTTTCTTTTGTTGTAGATGATGTTAAAAATTGTTAAGAGAATTAGATGCCATGAATTCTGTTATTGCTCATCTTGCTCCAGAAGGTAAATTGGCATCCTATATGTATTTTTAAAAATGGGACTGGTGCATTTTTTGCATTTCATTGCACTACTTATTGAAAATAGTTTATGGAATACTAATTGTGAATTGTCATTAAAATCTCTCCAAACAAGATGGGCTCCAACTAAGGTAGATTTGTAGAGCTTTGGGTTTCAAAACATGCTTCAAAGTAATGGTTGAATAGTTGTGTTATTTATTTTTGATATGCAGAAGAAGTAGTTATCCACAAGTTTGCTAGACTTTGCATGTCTGCAGAATACACCAGCAAAGTGCAAATACTTGAACACAGTGGGTTAAAGCCTCTCATCAGACTGCTGAGCAGCCCAGACCCTGATGTGTAGAAGAATTCTGTGAGTGCATTCACAACTTGGTCCAGGTAAGATTAATTCCTGAAAATGTGTTCTGACCAAAGTTGATTATAGAATTTGCTTTCCCACTAAAAAACAAAAAACAAAAATAAAAAGCTTAAAACTCACCAGCTTTGATTAATCAGTTCTTTTTGGTACTGTTTAGTAGTGATCTCTAGTAGTGATCTTATCTTATAAAATAAAGGAAGTTTAGTGTAAGTTTTTTTTTCAGTTTTCACAGTTTGTAAGTATTTGTCTTCCATGAAAGGGCATTTTAGAAATGTATTTAAAATTTAAAAGAATAGAGTGGTTTACAAATCAAAGTGGGATTATTCTAGATAAAATATATTTCTTGTGAAACAGGAAATCTAATATTCACATTGAACTAGGGTTAACCTGGGCAATTATATATTGATCTAACCTTGTGAGCTAAGCACATTGGATATAATATATGCCCTGGTCTGTGTACCAAGATTTTGGAACAGGCTTATGTATTGGGGAAAGCCTAGTGAGCTGAGTATGCTGAACAGAACTCATTGTTCACAATTGCAACATGTGACCTCACTCTGCTGCTTTCTTTTTTGATGGAAACTGACCACCTTCTCCTCCTCAATCAGTGTTGTCTTTCCTGGTTCCCCACCACTACCCCACCTCCCAACCCAACATTTGCACCCTCACACCCACAGCAGGTCAGCTCCCTGACACAATGGACTGGCATCTCTGCCTCTTTTTCTACTCAGGTTCCTGAACAATTTCCATGCACATTTGATCAACTTTAGGTCATTTGAAAATACAAAAACACCATGTAAGTAGCCAGCAGTCGAGTGTGAAAGGAAGAGATAGTGAAGTGAAGGTGGGACAGGGTACATTAAGAGGTAAACTATCTAGACAAACAATACAGAGAAGAGCCCGATAGGCTTATATGAAAGGCAGCAAAAGCATACATTCCTGGCCTTAGCAGTCCTCACCACTTGGCTGGGCACTGACTGATTTTACCTTTACTCCTCCATACAAAAGTCATCCTCAAGAAGCAGCTCAGCTTTGTTTCTCTTCTCTGGTTACTTAAGGCTTACTTACCCTTATCCAATAAGCCAAAATAATCCTCCAAGCACGTTTGTGTTTTACATCCCAAAACTCTTTATAGCTCTTTTTCCCTACTTTTTTTTCTCAAAGAGAAATGAAAAGACTTTACCCCCACTATTCTCCACAACAGAAGTACTAGTTGATAACAGTGCACTAATTTCCTAGGACCACAAACTAGGTGGCTTCAAACACAGGAATGTATTTGCTAACTGCTGTGGAGGCTGGAAGTCTGACATCAGGGCGTCGGCAGGGCCGTTCTCCCTCTGGGACTCTGAGTAGAACCGTTCCTTGCCTCTTCTCAACCTCTGACGGTGGCCGTCACTCCTTGGGATCATTTGGTTTGCAGCTGCAGCACAGCAATGTCTCCCCCTGTCATTTCTCTGTTTTTATGAAGATACCAATTTTATAAGGACACCACTGAGTACCTACCCTACTCCACTGTGACCTTAATTACATCTTCAATGACCCTGTTTCCAAATAAAGTCACATTTTGAGGCACTGGGTTTGGACTTCAACCTACATTTTGGGAAGATATAATTCAACCCAAAACAAAGACACCTAAAATTTTTATGTCTGAAGGAAGCTGAATACTAGCAGTTGAAGGATGGATAGAGGAAAGTTAATGGAAATGGGACCTTTTCCACCTTCAATACTATTTTACATTTACCATGTTTTCATTTAAAATGTCAGATTTTGGGAGATTACCATGGCTTTTTGTCTTGTTTTCTCCATTGCTCAGTTCAACCACCCCCGCCCCCCCACAACTCACACATGTGAAATTGCAGACACACACTGCAGAGCAATTTGTCTAGCCTCTAATGACCCCTTGATGTTGTAAATGTCTTAGATAAAGGTCATGTGTCTGAACTGAGCCTGATGTACATTTCCATGCACAGGGTCTGCTAATAGCACTGCATGCATAGAAGCATTTCCTAAACATAGAAGCATTTCCTTATTATCTTCTGAATGAAGATAATAAGGAACTGATGCCATCAATTCATTTTATCAAAGACTATTTGAAATAGGACAGAGAGTGTGAAAAGAATTTCATTATACATAGCTTTTGTTGTAACAGCATTTATAGTAATAAGAATCTGCTGTATAATAAAGAAACAATAGATATTGCAAATGTCATAGATCATGTTTATTTCTTATTATTGACTATGTCTGCATAGTTAAAATGAATATTTTGGTGTTGTCAATTGAGAGTTTGCTTACCTTAATTTGTGAGTTATTTTGGAAAGGACTCTGGAATAAAAGATTTGAAAATTATAATTTAGGGTATTCTTTGTTAGAAAATAGTTCTCCATTCTTGAGACTATTTTGCTTTAAAAATTGCTTATTTGGTCATTTATATTTCATGACAGGATTTTCAGTGTTGAGCTACACTTCAAGAACTGAATGCAATCTCTTCTATATTAGAGCTCTTGAAGTCAGAATACCCAGTGATTCAGTTGTTGGCTCTCAAAACCTTAGATGTTATTACAAATGACAAGGGCTCACAAGTGATGCTAAGAGACAATCAAAGAATGGACCACCTTATTAAGAACCTGGAAACTATGGTATTTATAACATTTATTCAGCTGTCTATGGGAAAATGTATCTCTCTTAAATGTTGTTATACAATGTGAATTGTATCATATTTTTAAATGAAATTTTATTATATTTAAGCATGGTACTAAGTATAGAGGACTAATTTGCTTGCCGTACATAGTTTATCAGCATGACTAAATCAGACTAATGATAAAGGCCATTATAAAATAATTTTTTAAATTTTCTGGAAAGTTTCTCAAAAAATTAAAAGTAAAACTACCATGTGACTCAGCAGTTCCACTTCTGAGTATTTATAGGGAACCAATCCACTTGGTGTGGCAAATGTAGCCCAGCCTTATGAGAAACCCAACAAGTACCAGTTGGCACACAGGAGCCAAACCCATGGATTGGCTTTCCCATGGGAGACCAGGCCTGCATTATACCTAGGTTACTTTGAGACTTGCTTTTGCTAAAACTCTCTCACCCTGAGTTGAAGCAGCAAATGTTTACTGTATATCTTTAAAGTAACTTCCTAAAGTCTGTTAATTCTCCCGAGGATGGAAGTAACCAGACGAATGACTCTTATTGTTCCCTTGCATTTGCAACATTTTTTCCTTGTTAATCTGTAAGAAGTAATCAGTAACATCCTTTCCTTTGTTACCTGTAAAAAGTAATCACCTAAAGCAAACCTGAGCAAAATGAATGAACACCTTCTTTGATGAATGCTATTAGAAAGCAATAAAAGCTTGTCCAAGCAAGGGTTGAGGCGTGCTCTCTCTCAGAGAGTGGCTGTGCTATCCCTTTTTCTCCACAGGACTTTAGTAGTCCATGTGAATTTGTTCATTGCATCCACAACACCATGGACACTGCTGGCCAGAGTCTGCATCAGGTATTTATCTAAAGAAAATGAAAACACTAACTCAAAAAGATGTACATATACCTATGTTAATTTTATATATACATATGTAATTATATTTATATATGCTATGGAATATTATTCATCCATAAAATAATAATGAAATATTATCTTTTGCAACAACATGATTGGACCTGGAGGGTATTATGCTGTTTGAAATAAGTCAGACAGATAAAGACAAGTACATATAATCTCACTTATACTAGGACTCTATAAAAAACAACAAGAAAACCAAGCTCATACAGAAAACAGAATGGCAGTTGCCAGAGGTGGGGGTTGGGCAATATGGATGAAGGGGTTCAAAAGATACAAATTTCCAGTTATAAAATTAATACATTAGGGGAATGTAATATATAGCATGGTGACTATAGTTAATAATACTGTATTGCATATTTGAAAGTGGCTAACAGAATAAATCTTAAAAGATATCACAAGAAAAAATATTTTGTAATGGTATAAGACAATGAATGTTAACTAGACTTACTGTGGGTGATACTTGTAATACACTTGCAATTAATGTAAAAATGTTACTATGTCAAATATACCTTAATTAAAATCTTTTGGTTTAGAAGGCTTAAGGTTTTTAAATTATTCTTTATGATCTTCATGAATTCCTGAAATGGCTGGAATTAGTCTTTTAATCTTGGTCTGCCATAGTTTTCTCTAGGGTAAATCAAGAAGAATAATGTATCCCACATTATGGAGGGTAATCTTGCTTTACTCAGTCTACTGATTTAAATATTAATTTCACCTAGATAATTAAATTTTTTAGATCTAAAATAATGTTTGGTCAAACATCTGTATACTGTAGCCTCATCAAGTTAAAACACAAATTAACCCTCACAGGTGCACTCCTGTCGGTTTGGCAACGACACACATCTCCTTAAATCGTACTTCATCTCCAAACAGACAATAGCAGGGTCTGCTGCTGCCTTATATGATGCGGACATCTTGTGTACAAATGAAAATGTGCCGGCACTTTCCCCAGGATAGGGTACAAAGTCCTTGGATGATTAGTCTTCTTGATGTCCTCTAACTTAAATACTATGATGTAAAATTAACAATACTTAAATACTAGCTCATAAAGTCATACCTCTTATGTTATGTAAGGGAATAAGAAAAGGAAGAAATTAAAGATATTGCATATACACACATATACATAACAAAATAAGAAATATTCATGACAACTACAGCCTCTTTTCTACAACTGGTCATGTGGTCATAGTTGGTATTGAGAACTACCTTCTTCCAATACTCCTCCCATATTCCCTTTGCCCTCAGCAAGTACCTCAGCTCATCTTAGTTCTTTGCCTGGTGGAGTGGCCACATGTCATTCCTGAAGGGTCTGGTCATTAGTAGTCTGCCTGGGTTGGGTTACTGTAGCTTTCCATCTACTTTCATCACAAGGCATGATAGTACTAGGAGACACCCTAAGGGATCTCCTGTTTTCTAGATAAACTCTTTCTTACCTCTACTGTGCAGTAGCAGTTCAACTCCCCTTGGTGGTAGGAATCAATCACCCAGCCAGCACAGAAACTCCCTTTGCCTGTTGATTTGGAGGCATAAGGAGCCCAAAGTGGCCAGGTGACAATCTTTTATTTCCGTGTCTCCTGGTAGAAGCATTTTTCTCTTTAGAACTAAGACTTCTAGATCACCAGAGCATAAGGTCACTGAGACAGGAAGCAAAATTGTGTTAGTGTGTCACTAGAAAAAATAATAAGGTGGTGTCACTCCCGTTTCCACTCCTTGATTCCTGGACCCATGAACCTTGGCTGTTGGAGAAACAGTGTCATATATTAGATGCTGATTCAGAACCTATAGAAGCTGGCCCCAGACCTACAAGATATTGCCACCTAGTTGGCCCTATAACTGAATCGTAAAAAGGCCATTCTATCAAGCCAGCTGCTTTAGGATGATGGGGGCCAGGGTAAGGCCAGTGAACTCCATGAGTATGGGCCCACTGCCACACTTCTTTTGCTGTGAAGTGAACTTGACCAGAAGCAGTGCTGTGTGGAATACCATGATGGTAGCATGACCTTCCTACATTTCTCTCACTTTAAGTATCCCCACCTTAAATTTCAAGGCTGCAGTTTTCCACTGCTATGGGGATTTGGGAGATTCCACAGGCAAGAAAGTCACACACTCACAATACTTCCCTCTACCAGTTGGAGATTTTAAGGAAATTATACTTTCTTCTGTCTGCTTTTCCCAAAAACATTTTCTTCAGATTTTAAAATTGTTGTCCATGGGAGGTTGTATAAGCACCTTCACTTGCATACCATTGCTGGAAGTTTTCAGTAATTATTTTTATCTGTAAAACACTTTGGACTAGGGGAAATGAGAAAAGATGGGGCAAATGGTTATGGAGAGTGACATTATGTTAATAAACAGAACTGTTTCCTTGGGCTTCTGTCCTAACAAAATGGATTACATTATCTACTGAATGACCTTAGTCTGTGTGTAAATTTGGAATGTATAAATTTCTTTTAGTACAACTTTCTAAAGCTGTGTTTCCTTTTATTATTAGGAATTGAATGACCTTCATACAGAAGCACTCTCAGTGATAGCCAATTGCCTTATGGATATGGATACTATGGTGCTGATTCAACAGATAGGGTTCTTAAGGAGCTCTTAGCAATTGCAGAAAACTCTACAGTTCCTGACATTCAGAAGAATGCAGCAAAAGCAATTACTAAAGCAGCTTGTGATCGCATGTCTCAATTTATATAGACTAAGCATACTGTATTCTTGATTTTGATTAGTTCTAGCAAACATGAGAGTATTTGTTTTTAAATGATCATTTGAGAATAGTGCTATACTTACTATGTAAGCTCAAAATTCATCTCAATGCCAGTGAGTTAAAGTAGAGATTGTTTTGTCAAGGATGTAATAAACTGAATATGATTTAATTATAACACTATCTTTTTCAAGTGATTCAATCCTAAATGAAGTTTTAAGCCTTTATTTCTCTTGATTTTTGGAATTATGCAGAATGTGCACATTACTTATGATCCTGAAAACATTGTGTCAATAAATCCACATTTGGCATGATATCTACATAGTCATTTCAAACTCCAGCTGGAGTCAGTGCCATGTTATGGAGCTGTGAGAAGTAACATGCTCCAACTGTGTACGTGACATAATTTCATTTCAGTGGCAAGCTAGGTTGACATAAATCTGTAAAATATGAAGGATTAATTATATCACAAGCACTAACAATAAAATTACAGTTTTAATTTATGTATATTTGGAGCATATGATTTAGTAAAAGATGCGACTTTATTTTCCCCTTTCCACATCACTCCTCATATAAATGATAACAACTTTGAGTAGTTTAAGTGATTTATATTCTAAACATGTATACTCATAGCTGTATACATGTCTATGTGTATATTATGGGAACCATTTCATTTTCAACCCATACTGGATCTCTTTAAGACAAAGTTTTAATACAATAAGCCAAATTTCACTGTTCAGTATACAGCTGATATAGAGTAGCTATTTGAGTTACATTATATGTGCCATATCTAAAAATAGGCTATACAATTAAAGTTTATAATATTGGCAAAAGCTGGCTGATTCAGTATTCTGTCCAACGGAGCTAGACCTTATCATATCTGGTCAGTTCTGTGTTCTATCTGTCACATTCTGTAGCCATTTGAGAGCCACAGACAGGGCAGTGGGAAGACAGGGACAATGTCACTCCTAAAATTTTCACGTATCTCAACTTCTCTTTGGATTGGTGTGGCTGGGCTGTTCAAAGATTGTTTCAGCCCCTCTTAGGGTGGTGAGTTTCATGAGTCTGTTACCTATCCTGGTGTTTTAATTCTACTACTAATTCTGCTGCTGGCACTGCACTGACCTCAGTGTGTTACTATGAGTGAATACCAGCCTATTGGGGCCTATTTATTGACTTATTTATTAATGATTATTGAGCCACCCCTTGATGTCAGTAAGGCCAGAACAAGCAAGTGAACAGGCAATCGCAATGCAATGTTAAATGTGATGATGGAAGAACAAGGTCGCTCAAGAGGGTCACCTAATGCAGACTTGGATCAGATAAGCCTTCCTGAAGTGGGAAGGACCTGTTCAGGCTAGAACCCAGAGTAAGTAAGAGAAAGTGTCTGGGCAAGAGAGCTGCTGGTGGTATGGGGGAGGATCAGCAGTGCTCTGAGGTGCAGGAACAGCGTGTGTAGAGGCCAGAGACGGGGCAGAGCAGGGTGAGTTGCAGAACTGAAAGTTTTTGGAATGGTTAGTGAGTAGAATGCAGCAGAAAACTGAGAGTCAAGGTTGTAGAAGCAATGAAAAGTCAAATGTTAATGAGTACTGTAAACCAAGTTAAAGACTTTGAACTTTATATTGGTAGGAACAAAGATCCTTGAACTGACTTAGAGGAGAGGTCATTAAAGATTTTCACTTTTTGAAGAAAGAACACTTTTGTTTCAAAGTGGAGAAGAGATTAGAACTGTATAGGACCAGCCAAAAAAAAAACAGGAAGGGGGATTCTGGGGTGACCTAGGTGAGAGGTGAGGGTGTCCTGTAGTAGAGATGTGGTGCTTTGGATGGACTCAGAGGCAAGGCGAATCACCAGCACAGCACTTGGCACACTGGAAGGTCCATAATTGTTTGTTGAATGACTACATACATTGGGGGAGGGAGTAGATGATGTCTAGGACAAGGCCAGGTTTCTGGCCTGGAAAACAAGAAGTAGAACGATGCCACTCACAGAAATAGGAACTTGAAGAAAAGAAGCAGGTTCTGATTGAAGGAAAGAAAATGAATTTTATTCTTTTATTTTTAAAGATTTAGTTTTATTATATTTTACAGAGAGGGGAAGGGGGGAGAAAGGGAGAAAAATATTGATATATGAGAGAAACATCCATCAGCTGCCTCCTGCACACCCCCAACTGGCTTGCAACCCAGGCATGTGCCCCAACCATGAATCAAACTGGCAACCTTTGGGTCCACAGATGTGACCAACCCACTAAGCCACACAAGCCAGGATTTATTATTTTTTTAAATTGTGGTAAAATACACATAATATGAAATTTACCATCTTAATTATTTAAGTAACCAATAAGTAAATCACTTAATTACTTAGTAAATTCACATTGCTGTGCTATCATTACCACTTTTCATCCACAGAACTCTCTTCATCTTGCAAAACTGACACTCCGTGCATACTGAACAGTAATGTCCCACTTTCCCCTCCCTGCAGTCCCTGGCAACTACCATTCTCTTTTCTCTATGATTTTGACTGTTCTAAGTACTTATATAAGTGGAATTCTACAATAATTTTCCTTTTTTCACTGGATTGTTTTACTTAGCATGATGTTCTCAAGGTGTGACCATGTTGAGGCGTGTGTCAGAATTTCCTTCGTTTTTAAGGCTGAGTCACATTCTGTTGCATGTGTAGACCACATTTTGTTGATCCATTCACCCATCCATGGCTGTCTGGTTTGCTTCCACCTTCTGGCTACTGTGAATAATGCTACTATGAATATGGATGTACAAATATCTCTTCAAGCCCCTGCTTTCCATTATTTGGGGTATATGTCCAGAAGTGGAATTGCTAGATCATATGGTAATTCTATGTTTAAATTTTGAGGAATTGCCATACTATTTTCCATAGTGGCTACACTATTTTACATTCCCATCAGCAGGGCACATGGGTTCCAGCTTGTCCACTTCTCACCAAAACTTATTTTTTTAAAGATTTTGTTTATTTTTTTTAGAGAGAGGGGGAGGGAGGGAGAAAGCAAGGGAGAGAAACATCAGTGTGTGGTTGCCTCTCACATGGCCCCCACTGGGGATTGGCCTGCAACCCAGGCATGTGCCCTGAATGGGAATCGAACTGTTTGTTCACAGCCCACGCTCAATCCACTGAGCTACACCAGCCAGGGCAACAATTATTTTTAATATTTTCTTTTTTATTGAATTTATTGAAGTGACATTGGCTAATAAAATTATATAGTTTTCAGGTGTACAATTCTATAATATACCATCTGTGTATTGTATTGTGTTTACTACTCTAAGTCAAGTCTCCTTCCATCACCATTTATCGCCCCATAACCTCCTCAACCTCCTCCCACCAATTTCTTGATAGAGCCGTTCTAATGGGGGTGAAATAGTTATTTCACTGTTTCAGTTTGTATTTCCCTAAAATGACAAGTATATTGAGCATCTTCTCTTTGTGCTTATTGACTATATGTATATCTTCTTTGGAGAAATGTCTATTCACATCTTTTCCCTATTTTTTAACCCAGTGGTCTATTTTTGTTATTGTTGAGTTGCAGAAGAGCTTTATGTATTCTGATATTAACTTGTTATCAGATACATAATTTGCAAATATTTTCTCCCATTCTGTAGGTTACTTTTCACTCTGTTGATTGTGCCTTTGATGCACAAAAGTTTTTTACTTTGATGTGGTCCAATTTATCTTATTTTTTCTTTTTCACCTGTGCTTTGGGTGTCAAATACAAGAAATCATTAATGGTATTAAATCCAATGACATGAAGCTTTCCCCTTGTGTGTTCTTCCAGTAGTTTTATAGCTTTTATATTTAAGTTTTTGTTCTATTTTGAGTTGTTTTTGTATATGGTGTAAGGTAGATATCCAACTTCATTCTTTTGCATGTGAATATCCAATATACCCAGAACCAGTTGTTGAAATGCATTCTTTTTAAAAAAGATTTTATTTATTTATTATTTAGAGAGGCAAAGGGAAGGAGAAAGAGATGGAGAGAAACATCAATGTGTGGCTGCCCCTTGCATGCCCTCTACTGGGGACCTGGCCCACAACCCAAGCATGTGCCCTAGACTGGAAATTGAACTGCAGCCCTTTGATTTGCAGGCTGGCACTCAACCACTGAACCACACCAGCCAGGGCTCCATTCTTTATTTGTAACACATAAAAATTTGACCAGATCATCTTTAAGTCCTACATGGCACTTAATGTTTTATGAATGTACTATATTCTACTTCCTAATTATGTCTCCTGATTATTTTAGAATATGATTACTAAATTTGAATTTTTTATTGTTGTTTTATTACAGTTGTCCCTAAATCGAAATTTATTTCATCTATGCCATTTGTGATTTTTTCATGTTCCCTTCAACTATCTCTTTTGCAGACTGAAGCATCCTTGTCTTGCTCAGTCTCTCCCAATAATCATTTTCTTAGGTTATCCTATGAGCACTTTCTTCCCTTTTCTGGACTCTCTTGTGTTCATGATGCCCTTCCGCAAGTGCAATTAGACATATTATGGCCAAAATTTGAAAAATATGCACCACAATTGATATAAATATTAAATAATGCAAAGATGGCTTTATATTATGTTCAACTTTAGTCCTATGAAACGGGTATTTTAGTCAGACTTTTGACCATATCAGCATATTGGGCCAATGTTTTGAGGGAAAGACCTACAGTGAATCCCAGATTCCATTTCTCAACCATGACACAGAGACATATTTTTAAATTAAATAATTTTTGATTTGTAGTTTTGAAAAATACAAGTTTTGCTGTACATATTTATTGAGGCCAAATATATTATCAGTGTGTCCAAATATTCTATGCAACCTTGAAAAGGTATACTCTTTGCCTACTACTTAACAAATATTTATTATATGCATGCTATATGCAAGACAGTACTCTGGAAAATAACAGTAACGATGAATGGCATAAGTGAATGAATACTTGTTGGATAGACTAAAAGGTGTATTTCCTATAGAATGTAGAGTTTGCTATTTATCTTTTAGCTTTACTTTATAAATTATATTGTACAGTCCTTTGTCTTTATTTTTTTATTTATTTTGATCTATCACAGATGAAGAGTGGTATGTTAGAAGTTTCCCACTGTTATTTCTGTTCATTTTCTCTTATAACTTTGTATTTGTTTTATTTAATATTGGTTTAGGTCCTTAGTCTGGATTCTGATTTTGAAAATTTTGTTTTGATCTATTGGTACCAATGTTCTTCAAATGGCTAGGCTTAGAAGGAACATCATATTTACTAATTCCACTGCTATTGAAGGTTTCAGTAAAATAACTGGCTTCTCTATCTCCCTGTAAGAAACTTTACAATGTGTTTTCTCAAGCTTTACCTTAGTGCACCCCACTATGCATTAAATATGCTGTCAGCTTCCTCATACCATAGCTTCCATCTAGCTCGTCTGCAGTGGGTATGTAGTGCACGTTAGTTTATGCGCAATGCCCTGTGCACGACCTCAGGTAGTTTGACCTGATGCTTTGGAATACCAACCAAGCACACGACAAAAGTTAACTTTCATTGCTTCTCAGCACCCCCATTTTCCAGACAGGACCAGATTTACAGCTACCCTAACATCACTCCACCAACTGCCCAAGGCTCTGCAGTAGAGATCCTTCACCTTCATCTTGCAGGTTTCATCTGTTTACTGTAAAAGTTTACACTTTATGACTCAGTTCACTCAGCTGGAAACCTTTCTCTATCCTTTCTGGAATAGCTTCCTTCCTTTCTTAATTGTTTCTACCTTTGTTGACTTACTGTGCAAACAATGGAAAATTGAGTCCAATGAATCTGTAAATCCAGTGGGTGCACAGAAGGTTTAGTAATAGTCTGGTCTGGCAGCTTGATTCTTGGAACCTCTAGAAAGAGCTGATTCTACAAAGATTCAAGATTTCTTTCTGTCCACAAATCCCAAAGAATGGGCCCTCTATTGATTGGCAGGGAGGGTTGAGAGTGCCTCTTCATTCACAGCTTCTGCAGAACAAAAATGCCCCCAAGGACTCTGAACTGCCTTGGCCATCACATTTGTGGGCGGGGCTGCATTCTCTGCTCAGGACGCAGTGCTAGCACAGAACCAATTCTCCTCTCCAGGGCCAGTGCGACAGGATGGACTGGTATCCTCCTCATTTACCTGATTCTTCTCTTCTCTTTTTGTTGGTTTACTTACCTGTTAACACTGTTTACCCGGCCACAGCCACAAGGACCACCCCTACCCTCCTGCCTCCATGCTAGACTGCACCTGTGTGTCTTGTGTCCCTTACTTATGTCGGCCATGGCCTGCCTTGGCCTCTCTTGCCAGACTCAGCCAGGTCAGGGATGACTTAACTTTATTTTAGACATGCCTTATTTGATATTAGTAACAATGATAAACTCTAAAGCTCATAAAGATTAACAAAGTTATCTTCTCATATTTCTGTATTGAAAGTAAATAATCATGAAGAGTTTTAAAATAATTTTCCACAGTTAGAAAATTCCATTCTTAACTAGGTTTTAACAAATATTGCTCCTTATACTTTTGTTAAAAGCATTGTACCCCTCTGTGTTCATTTATAGCATATTTTTACTTTCCACTCATCATCAAAAAAATGTTTGTGTGATTGGTAATGCATTCTTGTCGCATGCCAAAAACACAGTTGAAACTAACATGTAACACACATTCTTTAAGTTTTGTTTGCCGAATAAAGTTTTACCATGCATTTTAACCATGGAAAGCCCAAATCAACATGCCTTTGACTTGGCTTCAGGAGGACGAGGAGGGTGCTAATGACCACTTGGCCAGGAGGTTACTGAACTGGCATTGACATCTCAGCAGGAGCAGAGGTGGCACAATAGCAACTTCTGAGAAGAGGTGAAGAAAAGCTCATCACATACAGATTTATCTTCACTTGCAAAAGCTTATGCTTTTTATTTCAGTGATACTGAACAAATGCAATTTTAAAAGGATGTACCTCTATTAATAGCATAATTACCTTGTCATTTTTATTATCTGTATAATTAAAATGTAAATACTTCACTTCTCAGTGTAGCAATTCTTCGATGAAGGTACTTGGCTACTATGTTAATGCATCCTTTAAATCTGTTGTAGCTGTGCTGCAGCCGGCACCTTTGAGGTCTATGAGCACAGCTGGATTCTGAGAACACTGTCAGCAGGACTGAGGAACTAATTGCCCAGAGTATTTAAATTATTTTAAATTTTCCCCAATAATTGCATATGTACTATTTTTTAATGCAACAATTACATACTGCAGACTTAGGCTTTTCAAATGAATTCTTTTGGCTGATTTTCCCGATAGAATCTGCACTCAGGGTGCTCTGTTTAGGTTGACTTAGAGCCATCAGGGAAGTCTTAATTATAAATTTAAGCAATTTAGTTCAGAGGCTCTGGGAAAATTTCAGATCTTGTTTATTCAGAAAAACTAACACGGACTGCATATATTTTAAAACATTTCAGAAGCCACATAGTTGAGATTTTAGTATATATTAATTGCAGCTTTCTAATGAAACTGTTATGGCCTGCCTGAATTCTAATTTTATTTTAATTTTTTAAAATTTTATTTAATTTTTTTAAAGAAAGGGGACGGGAGGAAGAAAGAGAGGGAAAGAAACATCCATGTGAGAGAGAAACATCTATCAGTTATCTCTTGTACATGCCCCAACCAGCACAGAATTGGCAACCCAGGCATGTGCCCTGATCGGGAATCGAACTGGTGACCTTTCATCTTGTGGGACAACACCCAGTTGAGCCACACTGGTCAGGGCCTGAATTCTAATTTTAAATAAAAGGAGCAAGGGATTAAAATGATAGGATTATAGGACATGGTTCCTGATTGTTTTAAGACAAATGGACAGAAGCGTTAATAATTTAGCTCGTGCCAGTTGTGGACAGATTGCTCAGCAGACACGCATGTGTCAGGTGAGCCACGCCCAAGAGCATCTGCAAGTATGGTGGCATCTGAATGTGATACTACAACTGTGAAAGGAGCAATTTAAAAGTTATTGTTGAAAGAAGACAAATCATATATTAACTTTAAAATGAAAGTCTAGTTGCAGTCATTTCTAAAAGTATTTCTGAAAAACAATATTAATCAAAATACATTTCATTAATTAGTTCCACATGTAGATGTTATAATCTCAATTACTATCAGTATTGTTGCAGATTCTTATTTTAACAGAATATTTTTCTCATATATCAACATCCTAATAGCATATATCACACATTCTTCTATTTTAATCATGTAAATTGACTTCATAAAAGCTAATGGAGAATCAAACCAATGACAAAGTTTAGTGAAGGAAACCTTTTTTTCAAAGCAGTTTCTGGTACTTCTTATGGCATTAAAACAGAATTTGGTTTAATATATATTTTCTAGTATGTGATTTTTAATAAATCATAACTTATTTAGAATTAACTATGGAACACAAAACAAAAAGTGTTTTTAACATTCTAATTTAGTTGAAGCAATTTGTTTTAGCATAGATATGAGATTGTCATTTATTTAAAAAATCAAATGAGCTCCCACCAGTGTGGCTCAGTGAGGTGGGCATTGCACTGCAGGGCGAAAGGTCCCTGGTTCACTTCCTGGCTGGGCACATGCCTGGGTTGCGAGTTCGTTCCCTGGTCGGAGTGAGAGGCAACGGATTGATGTTTCTCTCTCTCACCAATGTTTCTCTCCCTCTCTTTCTCCTTCTCTTCCCCTCTGTCTAAAATTAAAATAAGTAAAATCTTTGAAATCAAGAGAAAAACATTAGGGAATGAAAAGAACCTTAAAAATACTTTGGTTTTTAATTTAGTATTTTATAATGAGGTGTGAATTATTATGGCATGTGCTTAAAGTCATAAATTTACTTGTTTTCAAATAAAAAGACCATATTCATATATGCTTAGATTATGTTTGTGGTGATTTATCAATTAAATAATTATTTTAATTTTTGATATGTCGCCATCTATTGTACCTTAAGATAAAAGATAATAATGATTTTTGTATAAACTCATAAACTATGGAATCACAGCTTATTACTCATTTTTACTTTCTCCAGGTCACCAGTTGATAGATCTTAGCTACTCTTCAAATATGGGTTTGTGTTTAAAGTAAATGTCAGATGGACAGGTGTGTGTTTGTCTGCAGTGAAAAGATGGCACATGTGGACACAGCCCCGGGCCAGGCCCCTGACCGTTGTTAAATAAGTTCTTGCTAAACCTAAAATTCTGCTCATTCTTGTTATAGAATTTTCTCTGCCATAGTATTGATATCATATAAAGGAACAGAAAGAAGAGCAATATCCCCGACTCATTTTGCATAACCACTGTGAACTAAAAAGTTAATAGATATTTTTTTGTGTAGTTAGGCTCTGTGACTAAGGCTAGCAAATAGTTTGAATTCCTATCATATTTTGGACAGTGTTTGCAGCAAAATTCTAATTTTTTTTTCTTTTGGCTTGTGAACACTGAAAACAGAAAACTTTTTCATGAACAAGAGGTTGAAAAAAATGCCCTGTAGTCCTTTAAGGCTCTGAAAGCAATGGGACTGAAATTGTTGCTTCCCACACTGTCTCAGCAATGTGTGAGAATTCAGGCAGCAAAGAATTTTTAAGTCATCAGGGTAAGCAAACCAGAAAAACCGTTTTGTACATTTTTAAGTTACCATATTCTAGGTGTTGTGAATGTTGATAAAGTTACGTTTTACCTTTCCTTTTTCTGTAGGGTTCCACAGTTGGTTCAGTTGCTAGAAAGTGACAATGAAGAGGTTAAGGAAGCTGCATCCTTGGCCCTGGCTCATCTGACCACTTGCAGTCCCGCTAATGCAAAGTAAGTGCAGAGACGCTCACTCGACACTAATATTTTGGCTTTCAAGCAAGTTTACACTTTCTTTCAGATGGACTGTCTTGGGATAAAACCTTTATGAAACTTCAGAAACCCTCATGAAAACAAATCATCAGATAGGCCTGTTTTCCAAAGATATAGTCGTGCGGCACATAAGGATGTTTTGGTCGATGACTGACCATGTTGAAGTCCCCACAGATTACAATGGAGCGGAAAAATTCCTATCACCTGGTGACAATGTAGCCATTGTAAATTCATAGTAGCAACATGTTACTCACGCGTATGAGGTGACGGCAGTCATATAAAAGTACTGCATACCATATTTTTACTGCATCTTTTCTATGTTTAGATGTGTTTAGACACAAATACCATGTAGATACACAAATATTTTCATTTGGTTACAGTGTTCAGTACAGTAACATTAATACAGGTTTGCAGCCTAGAAGCGGCAATAGGCTAGACCGCACAGCCCAGCTGTGCAGCAGACGACACCATCCATATTGCGTAAGTGGATGTGTTCGTGCAGTGATGAAATAAATCGCCTAACACTTTTCTCAGAATGTATCCCCCTCATGAAGTGACACATGACTGTTACAAAATCTCAACTATTTCTGGGCTTGTTTGGAAAATGAGCAAGTCATTTAATTCAGGTAACAGGTTAACTCTTGTGGAAGCTTCCCGTACAAATAAAACTGGGTAATGATGGAAATCTTAAAGATAACATTTAACACCATTTGATAAATTTAGAAAAAACTTACAAGATCCATTTTTTACAAGAGCCATTTTAAATGGACATAAATATTAGATAAATGTAGAAATGTTTAAAAAGTCAATTTAAAGCAACACATTATGGGTGAATACTATGAAGAGAGGTTGGAAAGGAGTACTCTCTGTATTCCAAACACTGTGGTATGTGACCTATATTCATTGAAAAATGAAATTATCAAGATAATGCATCAACTCATGAAGAAAGTTGGGCTCTGCAAGGTTACCTAATTTTCCTGGGCACAGGTATTTCTTAAAACAGCTGAGCTGGAAGTTAAACCTAAGTCTGTTGGACTCCAAAGTCTATGTTCTTTCCTCTATAGAAGATAAGATTGCCTTATAAAACAGCAAGGATTTCTTGAAGACAACTTTTATAAATCAATAAAATAATTCTTTTTCTTTCCTGTATCTATCTTAGTTGATACATGTGTTAGTCAGCATTCTATAGAGAAACAAAGTGAATAGGAGATACATAGACTAAAAAGGAAGGAGGACGAAAGGAAGGAAGGAGGGAAAAGAGAGAAAGAGAAAGAAAGAAAGAAAGGAAGGAAGGAAGGAAGGAAGGAAGGAAGGAAGGAAGGAAGGAAGGAAGGAAGGAGAAAAGAAAAGAAAGAAAAAGGAAGATTTTGCCTCATTTGATTATGAAGGTCGAGAAGTCCCAGGACCTGCCATCTGCAATCTGAGGAACCAGGAAAGATGGTAGTGTAATTCAATTTAAGTCCAAAGGCCTGAGAACCAAGGTAGTCTTTTTTTTTTCAAATATTTAAATTTTTGTTCAATTACAGATGTCCCCATTTTCCCCCATTACTCTACCCCCACCTCCCAAATTCAGTCCCCCCTCCCTGTTGTCTTTGTCCATGGGTCCTTTATACTTGTTCTTTAACTTGATTCTTCCCCTTCTTTCCCCCATTATCCTTCTGCCTCCCCCTCCATACACACTGTAGTCACTGTCCTTCTGTTCTTTGTTTCCATGTCTCTGATTCTATTTTGCTTGCTTCTTTGTTTTTTTGTTAGGTTCCACCTTTAGGTGAGATCATATGGTATTTGTCTTTCATCGCCTGGCTTATTTCGCTTAGCATAATGCTCTCCAGTTCCATCCATGCTGTCACAAAGGGTAGAAGCTGCTTCTTTGTTTCTGCTGTGTAGTGTTCCACTGTGTAAATGTACCGCAGTTTTTTGATCCACTCATTTACTGATGGGCACTTAGACTGTTTCTAGCACTTGACTATTCTGCTATTTATACTTTTTATGGTTTGTTATCTGCAAAGTAAAGATCACTTAAAATGGATAAAAACGTGAAAAAGCAAAGACTAAAAATAAAAACAGCTAACTGAAGACATAGGAAAACAGGACAAAAACAACCAGATTCATTTATTTAAAGTTATAGCAGCAGAAAGAAAAATAAAATTATTTTTAAGTGAATAAGTAAAAATTGAGAAGATTAAAACAAATCCCACATAAAGAAATAGATGAAAGTGAAAATAGAAACCAAGAGCAGTAATGAATTTTATATAAAAATATAATACACTCAGTTAATTTGAACACCTTTGCCCATCTTTTCCTAATTTGTTGCCAATCTTTTTGACAATTCTCAATGTGTAATACTTTTGGAAAGGAAAGAGTTAATTTTTAAAAGGAATGATATTTTCAGCTAAATTTCATGTTATACTTACCTGTACTCTTCTATCTAATTTGTCTTATCAAAATTTTACAATATTTATGCAAGTACTGAGAGAATTATTCTTGGTTGATATTCTTCTCAGGAGCAGATCCTATATATTAATATTTTAAACTATTAATTTATAACATCACTGCCATCTGTTGGATCCAATCAGAATTAGAGTTTTTAAGTTAATCCCAAGAATAAAAAGGGGTCAATGTTTTTCATTTCCCTTTGCCAGCACTAACTAAATTTTGACTATTGGTAAACTATGAAAAGATTACAAAATATTATGGCTATTGACTAAATGTTTTTCAAAAGATATAGTGCTTTAAGAAATAAAACACAATGAATAAAATAAAAATATAAAAATAATAACTATAATTATTTTAACACTTATAGATAAGCAGTTTTGCTACAGAAAATACATAATCAAGTCTATTATTTACATACATATCATACTAACTCCTATTCTTTGTCCTTATTCCATGTTATGTCCATGAAAAAAATTGATGATTTTCCTAAATCTGAGAGAGTCTTCTTATCTCAGTTTCCTTGTATTTTAAATTTTTATGCCCCTTCTTGACTTCTGTAACAACAGTGACTCCATAGAGCTCTGATGGCAGCATATATGATGGTTACATAAAAAAACGTGATTGACTGCTGGGCCCCTGCTGGCCTCCATGGCAGCAAAGACAGAGCTTTCTCTAGGGACTGTCCTGCTCTTGTGTGATGTGTGGTCAGGACCACACCAAAGGCAGTTGGGGGAGAGTAAGAGGTGTATCCAAAAAGGACCCCAGGAAGAGATAGAATACCCCCAAACTATATGGGTATGCATTTGTGAGCTTTGGGAACTTTTTTGAATGTCTTCATTATATATGGATAACCTGTCATTTTATATTATCAGTATTAATATTTCTTTTCACTAACAAAAATAAAGCTTTAACTGAGTAATTTTAATACCTGCTAGAAGTATTCATGGAGACCATGCCCAAGAAAGCCATGAAATTTGTAGAGAAAGTATTTAAAAGGCATGCACATACAGAACTTCACACTGTAAGTACTTCAAGAGAAGGCAGCACTTATTTACTCACAGCACCCCAGATCCGTGAGACCTCTCAGCACTGTCAAGATGGGGCTGACCATAAGTGACATCTTAGAAGGTTACATCTCTCGAGTGTGTACAGAAAGCACTTTTCAAGGGTTTTGTGCTTGTTTGTTTTTCATTCCTACCCTATTTAATAGAGTTAGGGGAAGGTCATATGTCTATTTATTTTTACTGTTTATTTTTATTTCTTTCATTCTGTAGCTTTAAGTATAGACTAATGCTATTCCTTAGAATTACCTATATTTTATTGTGTACTTAAAGCTGTGGTGTAGTGAATTTGTAGTCATTTTGAAGGAAAAAAAACGCACCTCTCTTAAAGTTGACAAAATACTACAAGATTTACTCCCCCTCCACTCTTCTAGAGGAAGAGATAGCAAATATGAGGTCTTTTTGGAAAAAGTCCAACCATTGTTAATATAACAAGAATGGTTTGTATGACATCAGTGTATCCTGGGATCCAAGGAAAATGGACTGGAATATGCATGTGTGAACAATGATGACTACAATGTACTAGAAGTGGTGGTGGTAGACACTGTTGAGTGAGTATGTGTACTGTGTGGCTGTGCCATTCAAAATGACTGAGTGAGGAGAGCAATGAATCTGCGTTAAATTTTGAGTTACTCTTGAACATTCCTCTGCAGAAACTATTTGAATGATTCAGAAGGTCACAGCTGTGGGTAACTGGTGATTCGCAGCTTCATCACAACAATGTGCCCACTCATGCATCATGTCTTGTGCAGAGTTTTTTGGCAAAACATCAAATACCCAGGTAACGCAGCCCCCCTACAGCCCAGATTTGGCACCCTATGACTTCTGGCATTTCCCAAAGCTAAAATTACCTTTGAGAGGGAAGAGATTTCACACTATTGATGAGGTTCAAAAAAATATTACAAGGCAGCTGATGGCAATTGGGAGAACTGTGTGAGGCCCCAAGATGCCTGCTTTGAAGGGGACTGAAGCATCATTGTCCTATGTACAATATTTCCTGTATCTTCTTCAATAAATGTCTCTATTTTTCATATTTCTTGGCCGGATACTTTCCGGACAGACCTCATACACTTTAGATGGCTAGAGAGGTGCACTATAACTCTTTGAAAATAAAATTTTTATTATTGGGGTGACATTGGTTCATGAAACCATACGGATTTCAAGTGTACAACTCGAAACATCATCTGCGCACTGTATGGCGCACCCATCGCCTCAAGAAAAGTCTCACCTTGCCCACGTCCACCTATCCCCCACCCTGAAATTAAATTTTAGTGTTTCTTTCAGATCATACATCTTGGCCAATAGGCACAGATTCACTTTGAATTAAGTAATTTTGTCGCTTAGAATATGTTTTTATTAAAGAAATATTCACTATAGAAATAATCCACAACAATTTAAAAAAAGTCTTATGAAAAGTGCAAACTCATGTTATAGTCTTGATGTATGTTGGATTTAATAATGCTA